CTTTGTTAGAGTAGGTGTGGCCTTGTTGGAGGAAGTGTGTCACTGTGGGGGTTGGCTTTGAGGTGTCCTCTGCTCCAGCTACTTCCAGTGAGACAGACCACTTCCTGTTGCCAGCATAAGATGCAAATCCTTATCCATTCTCAGCTCCTCTTCAGCACCATGTCTGTCTGCATTCTGTCCCACCACGAAGATAATGGATTAAACCTCTAAAACTGTAAACGACCCAAGTGATTGTTTTTCTTTATAAGAGCTGTCATGGTCATGGTGTCTCTTCACAGCAATAGAATCCCTAATTAAGACAGAAGTTGGAACCAGGGACTTAGAGTATTGCTGTGAAAGGCCTGATCATGTTTTTGTGTGAAGGAATATGGACCCTGGAACTGTGGATTTAAAAAGTGGTTGAATGCTTTAAGTGTCATACTAGTAGTAAGGGCATGGAAGACTGAATGTCATTTGATGAACTCTGGGGGCCTTGCTCAATAAGTTACAGGGGAGAAGAAGAAGAATATGTGGCCTAGAGGCAATTCTTGTGATATTTTGGTGAAGCATGTGTCTGCTTTTTTCCCTTATCCAGAGAGTCTGCCTGAAGATAAACTGAAGAGTTTTGAATTCATTCTATTGGCAGAGGAAATCTCAAAAGAGCCTAGTATAGATTCTTTCATGTGGTTATTAGTGGTAACTCTAATTAAGATTTATAATGAAAATGGACAATCCACACAAGGAGATAAACAGATTAAGAAATGGAATAAAGGGAGGGGTGACATTGGGGTAAGATCCCACCAGCTAAGTTTCCAACTTATGAAAAAGAATTAAAGAAAAGCCCAAAGCCAGGTGTGGTGGTGCACACCTTTGATCTCAGCACTCTTAGGCAGAGGCTGACAGCTCTCTGAGTTTAAGGCCAGTCTGGTCTACACACCAAGTTCAAGGACAGCCAGGCTTAGACCGTGAAGACAGCCATCAAAAACAGAAAGCTGGTGAAGGTGTAATTGAACAGGGGGCCATGTTCCAGCCCCAGCAAGCAGCAGAACTTGGCAGCTTCAGCCACGTAGTTCTGGCTTTACTCAAGGAGCAACTCAATAAAGCTGCTGAGGCCAGGCATAAGTCAGAAGTATCCCTGAGGGGTTGGGGATTTAGCTCACTTGCCTAGCAAGCACAAGGCCCTGGGTTTGGACCTCAGCTCTGGAAAAAAAAAAAAAACAGAAGTATCCCTAAATGGAGACCTAGGGAGGTCATTGCATGAAGCTGTGTAGTTGAAGCCTGGATTGCCTTGGACATCCCAAGATGCTAGAGATACCAGAGCCATAGGATACCTACCAAGAAAAGCCAAAAACAGGGAATGGAACCAGCCCAAGAGAAAAAAAAATGTGTTGTAATCAACAATGCTGAAAGGAGTTGGAGATCTGAAGAACATTTTGACATCACACATGGAGATGCAGAGTTTGGAGTTTGCCCAGCTGGTTTTGGTCTTGCTTTGTTCCAGTATTTTCTCACTATGCTCCCTTTCCTATGTTATGGAATGGTAATTTATATCCCGTGCCATTATATGTTGGAAGGAGGTGATCTGTTTTTCTATTTTGATTTTTCAGGGGATTACAGTTAGGAGATTGCATGAACCTAAGAAGAGACTTTGAACTTTGAACTTTTACATAAGTTAGAGAATGTTATAGGTTATGTAGACTTTTGAAGTTGGACTGAATGTATTTTTGCATTATTATGTGGCTCCAGCCTTTGGAGGGCAGGGAGTGGAATATGGTGGTTTAAAAGAAAATGATCCCCAAAGCGAGTAGCACTATTAGGAGGTGTGGCTTAGTTGGTGTCGGTGTAGCTCTGTTGAATAAAGAGTGTTACTGTGGGGGTGGACTTTGGGGTCTCCTATGCTCAAGCTGCTCCCAGTGAGACAGAACAAATCCTGGTGCTTGCAAGTCAAGATGCAGGTGCTTGCAAGTCAATCTCCAGCACCGTGTCTGCCTGCAGGCCACCTATTGAACCATGATGATATTCGACTAAACCTCTGAAAAATGCATGCCATCCCAACTCTATGTTTGTCTTTTATAGGAGTTGCCATAGTCATGGAGTCTCTTCAAAGCAATAAAAAATCCTAACTAAGACAACTTCTAAAAGCATTTCAGGTGTTCTCTGGAAGTGAGACTAATGAGCCATCCAACTCATCCTTCTTCTTGACACTCTGCACGTTGTTTTTTCAGAACTCAGAACTAAAATATCTGACCTGAAGATGCCCTTGCATCAGTTAACCTCTCTGTCTCACCATCTCTCAGAAAAAAAAAATTAAAGAAATTTCAAATTGGTTTAGTATTCTTCAGCATCAGCTTGATTCTTTGGTTGCTGCAGTACTCTGAAAGTAAATAGGACTAGATCTGAAGACTGTTAAGAATGGGAATTTTGCCCTCCTTAAACAATGCTGCTTCCTTGTCAACAAATCCAAAGGGTTTGGAGATGGGTCCCAAAGACATGGGGACCAGAAGAAAAATTCAATGACATGGCTCTATATACATAGGATTAATCAGCTTTCTCCATCCTCTACCATCCCATACTGTTTCCTTAATCCCAAATGGTGAGCTATTTTTCTCCACCAACTTATCAGTTCTATTGACATCCTTCCCATCCTTCTGAACCAACTCAGCCCTGCCAAATGCCTACAGACAATTAAGAAACAATATGGAATCCTTCCCCACCCTATATGCGAGCATCTACATATGGAAACCGACCTCTTTTTTCTGGCTCCTCTCTTTATCTCCCACCACTACTTTACCCCTCCCTGGGAAACCTGTCTTACACTGTGTTAAAATCACATATATTTAGCCCTCTAACTATTTATCTAAAGTTTCTCTAGGAGTATATTATGGTAATCACATGATTCACCAAAGATGATCAAGTTAAAACTGTCCTCCTGATATATGAAGCACACCAAACCTGTGCTTCTTAGACCCTGATGACAAAGCCCAGCTACTCCTTATGAAAGAAGTAGCCAATAGGAGACTACATCACCTATCCCTTCTTTTTATCTGTCATCAGGTTTGGAATGAAGGGTTAATTACCTAAAAGGCCTCAGCGGACTGAGAAGCTCTGAACAACAAAGTTGACTTGACTAATAACACCTGTGGAAGCTTCTGATAGGGAGATGCATATAACCAAACCCCTGGTGTCGACCACTGCCAGACTGCAGGGGAACTGATCTGCAGATGGACTCTTCCATCCCCAATCTTCGACCTTTGCCATCCTATAAAACCCAGGATCCCCATGCCACTTGTGAAGTCTTTACTTCCTCGGAAAGACTGCAGCCCTTCAGTCATCCTTATTAAAGAACAATTCTAGTTCTGGAGATGTTGGACTGCCTTTTTAAAAATTTCAATGATACTTCAATCAATCCCAATCTAACATTAGATAACCTTAAGCAAAGTAAGAGAGAGAGAGACAGAGATACAAGGAAAGATAGAAAGGACAGGGACAGTAGATGAAAAGAAGGAAAAGAGAAGAAAGATGGGAGAAAAGACAGAATGAAATAGTGAGAGGGTGTATGTGTTCCAAGATCATTATATTAAGAAAAACCAAATGAATCAGGTGATATTAATGCAAGTTAACAATAAAGATTAATTTTCCCCATACAATTAGACTACTGCTGTGGAGCACACTTGGAGTCAGGTCGAAGATTGCTTTTAATTATATTGTTTGAGCCTGGCAGTGGTGGCGCACGCCTTTAATCCCAGCACTCGGGAGGCAGAGCCAGGCGGATCTCTGTGAGTTCGAGTCAGCCTGGGCTACCAAGTGAGTTCCAGGAAAGGTGCAAAACTACACAGAGAAACCCTGTCTCAAAAAATAATAATAATAATAATAATAATAATAATAATAGTAATATTGTTTGTGATAGTTAATCTTCATGGTCACAATGACTGAACTTAAAATCACCTGAGATATACACCCAGAAGTGATGCCAGAATGTGTTTCTAGAAAATAATGAATGAAGGGGAAAATTCACCCCAAATATGGACTATTTTATCCATGGGTTTGACTGAATAAAAAGTGGAAAAAAGGAAATGGACACAATTTATTAATTTAAGTCTTTCTGTATATCCTAGGGGACCTGAGCTGATTCCTTACACACAGTGGGGGGAAAGCCAGGTGTGGTGGAGTCAAGTGGATCATTGGGAGTCACGGTCCATTCAGCCTGACCAAATGTGTGATTTCTAGGTAAAAATGAAAGACCTTGTCTCAAAACAAAAGCAAGCTGAAAAGTGTTCAGGGAATGACATCTAGAATTGAGATCTACCTTGCACACACCACACATACACACACATACACACACACACACACACACACACACACACACACACACGTGCATGTGCTATGCACATGCACACTCACACCGAATCCATCACTGAACATGTATGCAGGCACACAAGAACACACAACACGCAAGCAAAGTGAGAAAAGGTGAGTAGCATGCCACAGTTTACCTGCCTCCCCTTCCTGATTGGCCTAGGTTTGAGCAAACTGTCATTGCCACAATGGGAGCTTCCAGACCAGTATGTCTTCTCCACCATAATGATCTGTATCCTTTGATACATGAATCGAAGCAAATATTGCCTACCTTAAGATGCTCATTGCCTGGTATTTGATGACTGCAAAAATAATACCAACCAATACCACCTGGAGCCTAAACCAGATTCAATGAAGTCTTTGATTTGATCTCAAAGGTGGAAATGAGTGGGGCAATGGACAGGAACTTACATCCCTGGAAAATGATGTAAAGGCTGTTTCAGTCTCTTTCAAGTGAAGTGTGTCAGGAACAGGGTAGGGGGCTGTGGAGGCTACGGAACTGAAAGGGGAAGTAAGAACGCACGTAGTGGAGGGAATAAACATCACAGGCTGCCAGGTTTGCACACTGAACAGCTTCAGTAGCAGCTCAGGCAGTGTGACAGACAGCATCTGCAGGTTTCTGTAAGAGGATATGTCACTGTGAGAGGGTAATTATCACTTGGCTGTCAAAAGTAAATTCCAGCATCCTCAAACTGCACGCCATCAATTGCCATGGTGAAATCTGTTCCGTAGCCACTGCTGGTGAACCGGGGTGGAACTCCAGAAATACGGGTATTGCCTTCTGAAAACAGGAGCTTAGGAGCTTCCCCTGATTTCTGCTGGTACCAGTTCATGTCATCATCAGTATCTGTGCTGGTTCTGCAAGTGATGGTGACTTTTTCTCCTGTGGCCGTGGAAAGGAATTCTAGAGACTGGGTGACAGTTGTTTCTGCCCTGGAATCAGTTCATAGAAGAAAAATAAGAAAGACAAATCAAATGTGCCATATTTATATAGACTAAAGTCTCAACTTCTTTGGAAATTATAGAATTTTATGGTGATTATGAACACTTAACAAATGTCAGGAAGAAGAGAAACTGTTTCCCTTACCAGAGATCCAGAGGAGGAAGAGGCTGAGGAGCTGAGCATGGGACAACATGGCCATGGCCTTGGGTCCTAGCTATTTTCCCACTCAGTGTGGCAGCATGCATTATATGCCATCAGAGACTGAGGAGGGAATGGGACATGCAAATTATATTGAATGTTTCAGAGGTTGGGAAGGCAGAGTTGAATGACAGTGTAAACCTTCACATAGAGTCTGCCTGTTAATTTCTTCACAGCTGTGTTGATGCTCACAAGGCTGGTTTAAAATGTTGCCTCCTAGGCTTTTATCTTTCCTCTCCTTTAATCTTCTACCAGTTTCTGTGTTTCAAGATTCAGTGTTGCAGTGACCTGATAGAGGGTGAGTCCACAGTGGCATCGTTGATAATGTCCATCTTTCACCTCACAACATCCTAATGTTTGTGATAGAAGGGAGCTAAGAGAGTCAATAATTCACGTGGCTTTTGTCTGGATACTAAATATTCTGATCATCAGTTCTACTTTCAGATGATGTTTCTAAGCATCCATACTCTTTCTGAATTCATCACCCTGAAGTAGAAGGCAACTGTCTAGTAGAGGCCATGATTTTAAATTTTATTTTCTTTGAAATCAGTGAGCAAGTTAGTGGGTTTCCAGTGGAACTGGTGGGAGTTGCGTCTTGCAAACAGTATTTTCTGCTTACTATACATCTGTATTTTCATATGCTACATTCTGGATTTGAAAATGGAAATGATAATTACTGCTACATAAGAGGACAAAAATGTATAAGCCATTAGAAGGTTATGGTTATTTCTAAAACAAAATTAATAAGCTCTACTTTTAATACAACAATTTACTTACATTCATGAAGACAGGTAAACAAGGAATTCCAAAGGAAACAAAGTGTACATCTGAATATACACACACGTGTTTTATAGATATATATATGCACATTTATACATATTTATATGAACATGAATATGTAAAGAAAAAGTAAAAGATGCTTTTGGAATTATAAGCCCTAAAATTCATGTCAAACAAAAATGCTGTAAGTAGAAAATAACTCTCTGTAGGAAAATTAAAGGAAAATACATCAGGAATAGACCCAACTATATATGAAGGTGGAATATTAATAAAAATTTGTTAGAGATATGACTGAATAATTCCACAAAATGTTCCAAGAGAGTAAATGCGTGGAGAGAGTGTGTTAAAATACCTATGTTGTGGACATCACTCTGCATGCTGTGAATGTGTTGCTCTGATTGGTTGATAAATAAAATGCTGATTGGCCAGTACCCAGGCAGGAAGTATAGGTGGGATAAGCAAACAAGGAGAATTGTGGGGAAACTGGAAGGCTGAGTCAGGAGACACCAGCCCAATGTTCAGGGTGCAGCATGTAACATGTAATGGCACACAGGTAAAGCCACAGAACATGCGGTAACATATAGATTAACATAAATAGGCTGAGTTTAAATGTAAGAGCTAGTCAGTGGTAGGCCTGAGCTAATGGCCAAACAGTTTTAATTAATATAAGCTTCTGTGTTTTTACTTGGGACCACAGGACTATGGGAGCCAGGCAGGACCAGAATAACTTCAGCTACAAATGGCACCCAACGGCCTGAGTTTCCACCTGAAACCTGAGAATATTTAATAAGCAATTATAAACAGAACCAAAAACAGGTTCCTACTTCATGTCTCATGCAGGCAACGAGACAGCGCAATATGTGGGCTTGAGCTACTCTATGGTGGGTTCATGGGAGAAGAGGAGGGAGAGGAAACTGAGGCCAGAATGTAAAATAATTAATTAATTAATTAATTAATTAATTAATACATAAAGTTCTTCCAGAAGTAGCTAAAACTGAGTAACTGCTGAAATGTTCCTCAGCTGGTAAACAGGTGAACTGAGGTTCTTCAATACCATGGACTTCTACTCTTATCCAAAGTGAAGCTAATTATTCGTGCACACAGCTTGGAAGAACCTCAAGGCAGTACTGTGGAGTAAAATAAGTCAAATTGTGTGTACTGTGTAAAGTCTTTTTGGTAGTGCTTGCTATGAGTAAAAGATGGGGGGATGGGTGGTGTGACCTTAGAGGGTGGCACCACTGGGTTTTATGGTAGCAGTTCAGATAAACACATGATTATGGTTCTGAAAACACAGGCCATTTATGTGCCCAATATGCCTAGAGACATCCCACATGCACACACAGCATCCACATAGACAAGTGCAAATGAGCTCACTAGTAACATGAAAATTTTTTCTGTTTTCTCATTTGTTTCATTGCAGAAGATATCACCTCAAGAGAAGGCTATGTGCAAGGTACATTAAGTTCTACCTGTAAGTTTTTGACAGTTTCCTATGAAAGTATAATTATTTTAAAAGGCTTGATTACTTGAAGTCCTCACATAAATGAGTTGCTGAGTTTCACTCTCTCTAGTTAAAAAAGAAAAGTTATGCCTCCCTCTACTGGTGGAAATGCAAATAGAACATTCTAGCACATTTTGGAGAAATAAGGAATGGAGTGATTGTAAAGCAATTTGTGGTTATTAGAAGAGCCACACTGAAAATTTGTATACATAATACCAAAATTCAAGTAACCTGCTGAAATAAAATCAAGACATTATGTAGATGGCATAATATAGCAAAGATATTTTAGATTTCAAGTCACTTACTTCTCATATTCTTTTTTTCTTCTCTCATACAATACATCTCAAACACAGCCTTTCCTCCATCCACTCCTCCTAGCCTCTCCTCACCTAGCCTCTCCCCCAGATCCACTGCTCCTCGATTTCCCTTCAGAAAAGAACAAGCCTCCCAGGGATATCAACTGAAGACAGCATAACAAGATGCAATAAGACTAGACACAACCCCTCATATCAAAGTGGGATGAGGCAACCCAGGAGAAGGGAAAAGGTCCCAAGAGCAGGCAAAAGAGTCAGCGACACCATCACTCTCACTGTTAGGAATCCTTAAAAAAAAAAAAACTGTGCTAAGCAACCATAGCATGAATGCCAACTACCTGATGCAGCCCCATGCATGTTCTGTGATTTGCTGCTCTGGTCTCTATAAGCCCCTACGAGGCCTACTTATTGATTCTGTGGGCCATGTTCTCTTTGTGTCCTGGCCCCCTTGGTTCCTACACCCTTCTTCCCCTTCTTCCTTGGGGTTCCCCAGCTACACTTAATGTTTGGGTGTGGGTCTCTGAATCTGCTTTCATCAACTGCCAGAGGAAACCTCTCTGGTGATTAATGGAGTAGGCACCAATCTACATATCATTAGGATCTTTTGGTTGTTTTATTTAGTTGTGTTGGATTCTACCCTATGTCTCTGAGCCGTGAGTCATCCAGTTTCTGGTTCCTGGCCATCCAGGCAGGGTCGGGCATAAGATCCCTCTCCTGGCTTGGGCACCACATTAGACCAGTCTCCCGTTGGGCACTCCTATGGGGTCTGATCCATCATTGCCCCACTACCTCTTGCAGGAACAAGTGTGGATCAAAATTTTTGTGACTGGGTTACTGTCCCAGTCCTACTACTGGAAGCCTTGCCTTGTTGCAGAAGATGGCTGGTTCGGGCTTCATATCCTCCAATACTAAGTCTTACCTAGGATCACTGTCCTAGGTTCCAGGAAGTTTCCACTGCACTAGGTTTACACATACCCCCTAAATACCCCCACACTCCAAGAGTCTATCCCTATAATCTTCCTTCTGTCCCTCCCTCTTCCACATGATCCTTCCTGTTCCCATGCCCACTTCCCCCTGCCCAAGTTCACCCACAAAATGTGTTTTCCCTTTCCAGGGAGATCCATGTGTCCTTGCTAGAGCCCTCCTTGTTACTTGGCCATTTTGGGTCTGTGGATTGTAGTACAATTTTACTTAATAACTAATATCCACTTATAAGTGAATACATGTTTGTCTTTCTGGGTCAGAGTTGCCTCCCTTAGGATGATTTCTTGTTCCATCCATTTGCCTACAAATTTCATTATGTCATTTTTTTCTAAGTGCTGAATAATACTCCATTGTGTAAACATACCACATTTTCTTTATCCATTCATAGGTTGAGGGACATCTGGATTGTTTCCAGTTTCTATCTATTGCTGTGGGATGGTCTATATGTCAAATTGTTCTGATTGGTCAATAAATAAAACACTGATTGGCCAGTGGCCAGGCAGGAAGTAGGTGGGAAAAGGAGAGAGGAGAATCCTGGGAAGCGGAAGGCTGAGGCAGAGGAGACACTGCCAGCTGCCGCCATGACCAGCAGCATGTCAAGACACCGGTAAGCCACCAGCCACGTGGCAAGGTATAGATTTATGGAAATGGATTAATTTAAGCTATAAGAACAGTTGTCAAGAAGCCTGCCACGGCCATACAGTTTGTATGCAATATAAGTCGCTGTGTTTACTTGGTTGGGTCTGAGTGGCTGTGGGACTGGCGGGTGACAAAGATTTGTCCTGACTGTGGGCAAGGCAGGAAAACTCTAGCTAAAATCTATTATGAATAAAGCTGCTATGAACAGAGTTGAGGAAGTGTCCTTGTGGTAGGATGGAGTGTCCTTTTGGTATATGCCCAAGATTGATATAGCTGGGTCTTGAGGTAGATTGATTACCAATTTCCTAAGGAACAGCCATATTGATTTGTAGTGGCTCAACAAGATTGCATTCCCACCAGCAATGGAGGAGTGCTCCACTTGCTCCACATCCTTGCCAGCATGAACTGTCACTTGAGTTTTTAATATTAGGAATTCTGTCAGGTGTGAGATGGACTCTCAAAGTAGTTTTGTTTCACATATCCCTGCTAGCTAAGGATGTTGGCCATTTCTTTAAGTGTTTCTCAGCCATCTCAGATTCCTCTATTGAGGATTTTCTGTTCACATCTGTACTCCATTTTTTTTCATTTTTCTTTATTAAGAAATTTTCTACTCATTCCACATACCACCCACAGATGCCTCCTCCTCCCTCCTCCCAAACCCCCAGCCCTCTCTCCCAAGCCACTCTGCATCCCCACATCCCCCAAATCAAGGTCTCCCATGAGGAGTCAGCAGAGTCCTGGAAACTGAGCCTAGGCAGGTCCAAACCCCTTCCCACTGCACCAAGACAGCACAAGGTGTCACACGATAGGCATAGGATTCACAGAAGCCTGCCCATGCACCAGGGACAGATCCCGATTCCCTTGCCTGGGTGTCCTCCAAACAGTTCGAGCCAAACAACCATCTTCCATATCCAGAGGGCCTAGTCCAGTCCCATGGGGGTTCCACAGACAACAGTCCACAGATCATGTGCTTCTACTAGTGTGGCCAGTCATCTCTGCATGTCCTCCCATCATGGTCTTGATGTCCCCCACCGGCAGAATCCCTCCTCTCTCTTATCAATTGGATTCCCAGAGCTCAGCGTGGTGCCTGACCATGGGTCTCTGCATCTGCCTC